GCATTGTTGAATGGCGAAGGCGGCAGCCTCGTTTTGGATCGTAACAGTCCACTGTTTATACTATATTTCCGACCCCTAGACCGTATACTATAAAGAGCGCCACCTACATTACAATCCATAACGAGGCCATCGCCTTCGCTATTCAACAATGTGAAGGCGGGAGCCTCGTTTTGGATCATAGCCGTCTATCATTTATACCAAAGTTGCAGACCCTTTAGTCCATACATTGTAAAGGGCGCCACCTTCGTTCGAAAGTGGAAATTTGTTGCACCAAACACTCCAAAGAAGCCAACTTTTATAGTTAGAATTTTGAAGCCATAGCCTGATGTATGTAATTTTCTCTTCAAAAAGCATTATTTTCTTGGCTAAAGTGCTTCTAAAGGCGACATTTTCTGGTATATCCTCCAAAATGTTCATTCGAGTGTGACGAAAGCGGTGTCCTCGACATGGCTGGAAGCAGAACAAAGGAATCTATCAAAAGGAACTGGTCTCTTTTGCAGCCGTTTGTATTTGCCTAATTGTTTCCCCTGTAATCCAACGCCCTAATCTTCCCAATGTCCCCTGTAATCAAATCCTGTTTCCTTCGGTCATCTGCTACCAGGAATTCACACACTGCTTTCAAGGTACATCAGATTTTGTTGCAAAACGAAGTCCATGTACAGAGGGCACTGAATGTGCTGTGACCTATACAAGTGCCCTGAAAAGTCACATTTAGCAAAGAAAACACTGAAGCATTGACTCTAAAAATATTTGACATTTTTCCGACCAAATTTCGTGTACAGGGTGTCAAGCAGCGTCCGTGTGTGGAATTTAATATTTACCGTTTACTCAAACAGACCGACCCATTCAATAATCAGTGTACTGCATCCATTCTCAAAAAGCTACAAAAAAGGGAAGAAGGCTGCATATCTTTGAGTCTTTGCCTCATTTTATTGCTGAAGCAAAAATTGCACTGGACTTGGCCCCTGTGAAATACTACTGCAGATAAATGGCATTCCCTGACAAGCTTTCTGATTTCGGCCAATTAATCTCAAATTGAGTTTGCCCTCCTTATTCAATGGAGCTGCAAGTGCCAGTAAAATGGTTTCGAGTTTAAAGAAAATGGAAAGACGCCAGTATCCCAACTTCTGAGTTTCATTACCTTAAAAAAACCTGTCCCTTCTAAAACCTTAAAAATAACAGACGTCGTTTAAAAAAATTGTTGGTGAGGCTAAATGTTCACAGAGGCAAGTGTGGAATTCTTTCCGAGCAAATTTTCAAATTTAAAGCTAGGCACGGATTACCTTTCCCAGGATTTAAGATTGACATGTAAACCAACAATTGATAATATTAAATTCTTTCCGTTAAAAAAAAATCGATACTTGTGCATAGTGCAGAAAAAGTATGTCTCATGATTCCCTTTGACTTATTTAACTGATATTATTAGAAATTGAAAGATTCAGCTAATGTAACATTAATTTGTTCATTTTGTTTAATTAGAAATGAGTTGCAGTTAAGTTCGAGTCCTTTCCTGCTCCTTCGTCCTCCTAGATGTCTGCATGACCTGAAAGCTTCTTGTCGTCAAACAGAAAGGCCCAAACAGGCACTGACGTAGCTACTGGGGACATCTTATGTTCAATGTAGAGGTCTCAGTGACACGAACCAACTGGCCGAAAACGCTTCCTAGTGAAGGGGAAAAACAGAAATGCAGCAATTTTAAATCGGCAAACCCTCAAGAAAAGGATACCATCCTTCCTAAAATAATTTTTTTTTGTTTTGTTTGAAGATCTCAACTTTCTCTTCAAAATCACACCAAAGACTGACAAGTTAGAGGGCCTCGATTATCGGTTGCTATTCAGTACAGTTTAAAATTAATGACAAATTTTTAAATTCTAACTGCACTGACAACTTGTTTGAATCACCCACGCATGGAACTTTGATGAAAATTCATTTCAAATTTCAAACATGCATTTCAATGATGAAACAGTTGGTATGAATCCTGAGCATCCAGATGAAGTTTTTGCCCAAGCTCAAAGCTTTGCTGATCAAATAAGTCTTGGAGTACCAGGCGATGCACTTATACCATGATAAACATTCTTAACATCCAAAAAGCAACTCTTACATCACGTGAACATCATAATGGGTGTGCATATCTTGTTGTCATCATGAAGTGAAATTGTGAATAAAAAGGTCAAAAGTAAATTTAAAGCCCAAACAGTTTAATAATCAATGCGTAATATTTTTTTATGTTTTCTGTTGAAGTTTTCATCAGAAATTAAATTTTACCTTGTCTGGTGACCTTAATCTGTTAGTGCTTGTTGCTGGGGTTTAGAAGAGCTACTGTCTCCATTCTTTATTTCTGTATGAAAAGGTGAAAAATGCAGTACTTGACAAATATCCACTGAAATTATCAGATGAATATTAAGCCTGAATTAATAAAAGCTGCAACTCCAAAGCTAGATGCTAGAAGAGAACGTCTCCACGTACCATTCTATGTGGAGTTTCCTCTACGTGTAAAGTACAAGGACAACTTGAGAAAAGCCGATAACAATCTGCAAAATAAGGCATTGATAATGGAATTTGTAAGAAGACTTTCAACTTGTGAAGATTGCAATTGTGGCAACGCATGTGCTTGTTCTAAAATTGCTGGTAATTTTG